AGAAAAGATCCAAATGATGCATACAAACTAATAGATGAGATGACATCTTCTAGCTTTCAGTAGCACACTGCTGACTCTTACGACATCAAGAGGAAAGAGACCGCTCCAGTCTACCAAGTAGAGAGCAGTAGCCCACTAATGAACCAAATGTCAACTCTTGCAAAGCAACTATAATCTTTAATGAAGGCTCAAGACCAACCTGTAAGAGCTCCTACAAGCCCATAATCTAAGCAAGAGGAGGCAAATTTCATGGGCAATTACAGTTCAAAGTGGAGGAGTAATCCTCCTAACTCTTGGGAGAATGACTTTGAAAGTCAAAATTCAAGTGTTTATCGCCCTCCTCATATGCAAAGTCAGGGAGCAAGACCTGAAAGAAAAGAAGCCCCTTGATCTCAGTCCAACTTTCAAAAACAGATGATGCAATATGTGCATTACTTTGATAAAAGGATGTCAGAGCTTGAATCCAAGTTGGACCAATATATTGAGAGAACTGATAAGAGGTTTGCAGAGGTTAAATCTGAAATACAAGCCAACTCTTCTAAGATGAGTGCACAATTGGAGCAAATTACGAACCTCCTGAGTCAAAGAGTGATCGAAACACTGCCATCTCAGCCAGAACCTAATTCAAGGAAGCAATGCAATGCCATCACCCTTAGAAATGGAAAGAAATTACAAGAATCGCAGAACAGAGGCACATGCATGCCTATGTTTGTTGAGAAGCACGCTCATGCTTATTTTACATGTACGCCTGTGCTTACTGATAAGCACGCCCCTACTACAATAGAAGCACGACAGTGCTTATACAAGCACGCCCATGACAGTGATCAAAGCACGGCCGTGCATCACTTTGAGCAAGACTGTGCTTCAAGTGAGTTGAAAAGGAAAAGAAGGAAGAGTCTCTTGTTCAACCAAGGCCCTATGAGCCTAAGATACCTTTCCCACAGCGGCTGCAAGGTCACCCTCCTTATGATGAAGAGTTCCATAAGTTCTTAGACTTATTGGGCAAAGTGCACATCAATATGCCTTTCATTGATGCTATCTCCAAAATGTCCAAATATGCTAAATTTTTAGAGGAGATTTTGACCAATAAAAGAAAGTTGAAAGCACATGAAACTATGAAGCTCACCTAGAAGTGCTCAGCTATAGTCCTTCAAAAGCTTCCACCTAAGCTTAAGGACCCAGGGAGTTTTACTATTCCTTGCACAATTGGAAAAACTCATATTGATAAGGCTTTATGTGATTTAGGAGAAAGTATTAATCTTATGCCTTATTCTGTTTTCAGGAAGCTTGGAATGCATAAACCTAAGCCGACTTTCATGTCACTTCAGCTGGCAGATAGGTCGATCATATACCCCAAAGGCATAATGGAGAACGTACTGGTAAAAGTTGGGGAGTTTATATTTCCTGCTGACTTTGTGGTACTTGACATAGAGGAAGATGATGATGTCCCCATCATACTAGGGAGACTGTTCTTGGCCACTGCTAGGGCCATCATAGACGTACAAGAAAGGAAGCTCACACTGAGGCTAGATGATGAGGAAGTTGTATTTCAAGTTTTCAATTCTTTCAAATACCCTTCTAGCCAAGAGTCTTGTCACTTTGTGAGCACTATGGATGTTGCTTCTCCTCCTCCAATTTATGTGAAGCATGGAACCACAAGAAGAAGGTCAAGGAGGAAGCAATATAAGAAGAAGAAAAGACAAAAGCTTACGCCATCCATTAATAAGCCTTCTAATTCGAAGTTTAAATTTTCTTCTCTTTATTCTAATCCTCATCTTATGAATAATTTTTCTGATGTAATAGGTGTTAGAGAGACAAAGATGCTGGAGAGACAATTGCATATCAAGGGAGTCACCTCTGAGACTCATACCTTCTTCCCACTATGATTTAATAGAAACGTCAGGCTCGTGACGTTAAACAAGCGCTCCTAGGAAGCAACCTGTGTCTTTTTATTTTATTTAAATTTTATTTCTTTTTGTTTATTTTAATTTTGTTATTATTATTTTATTTTTAGAATAAAGAATAAGCATATTGAAAGATTGCAAAAACAGAGTTGATTATTCCCACACTTTTGAGCTTTGATTTGGAAGCACGCCCGTGTTTATCCCATACACAGCCGTGCATTCAGTCATAGCTATGAGAGAAAGCTTTACATCATCAGCATGGGCGTGTTCAAGATTTCAGCATGACCGTGCTCCCTCACCCAAAGCCGTCACGCCAAGAATTATCAGGGAACCTCTTTCCTTTTTATTCAATTGCCCTATTTGCATGCTTTTAAGTTAATTGTTTTTAAACATTGAGGACAATATTTTGCTTTAAGTATGTGGGAGTAGTTCCTAATTATATGATTGTTATTCCATGTTATTGAGTAAAGTGCCTATGCTATTTTTTATGATAATTTAAAACTTTTTCCCTTATGGAACCCAATTTTTCTAGATAAAAGAGCATGTTGAGTGATTATTATTGGCATTATACTTTTATTTGGAAACTAATAATTAGCTAAGTTTCTTACTTTTATGCTCTACATTAAATTTTAACCTACAGATGTGAGTTTTGAGCCTTAAAAGGAATTTTTATCTTAATTTAATTAATTGTACCCCTTTCCTTATTGTTTTGTGTGATTATCTCCTTAAGATTTGTGCTCTAGAACCTGACTTGAAACTGACTTAAGACTTCTCTTTTTAATTGCATGTTTTTAATATAATTGAAGCATAATAGGATTTTTATTCTTGGCCTTCAGCATGTTTGAAATACAACTAGTTGCCCACTTTGAACTTTATTGATTTTCTTGGTCCCTTACATTAAATTTATAAAATATTTTGATGACCTTGAGTTTATGAATGGAGCAATTGAGTTGTTGAATTGTTTGATTAATTCTCCTCTATATCTCTCATATGCAAAAAGAAAGAGAGAAATTATGAAAAAGAAAATGGAAAAAATAGAAAAAAAAGAAAAGAAAAGAAAAGAAAAAAAAAGGGTTATATATGATTGAAAGGAGAGAGGAGTAAAGATACTATTCATATACAAAAATATAAAAATTACTCTAAGAGCTTCATTTGTAAACTTAGGGGATGTTTATAATTTTTATAATTTATTACCCCTTTGTATATCCTCTTTCTTTCATTTATCTCACCTCAAATTATTATAACCCCTTAGCCACATTATAACCTGAAAAAGACCTCGTGATTTTTATTTGCATTTAATTTATTTAGTGGAGAGTCGGTTCATAGTCAAGCCTATGGTAGTACACTCTTCTTTAGGAGAAATGAGTGATATCTTATTTTGTCTCTTAGTGAGAGAGGAGAGTAGAGTACCTCAGTTTGATGTTTTAGTGAAAAGTATGGAAATAAATTCTAATTGAGAATCCTTTTGATTGCTTATGCTCAGTAATATTACTCTTGTTGCTCTCTTTATCTCCCCATCTCGGGTTCCTTGTGTGGTATTATGTTTTAAGTTATGATGTTACTCTTAACCAGCACTTTGCTTGAGGACAAGCAAACAGATAAGTATGGGAGAGTTGATAAGTCTGTAATTAGGCTCTCTTTTACAGCCCATATATTGATATTTGACCTTTATTTTATTTGAATTTTACACTAATTTATATATAAATTGTGCAGTTTGGTATAAAGAGGTCGCAAGTGGATTTTGGGTGCATTCTGGGTCCAAATTGATGAAAGATTAGAGTTTCGCAGCAGTTAGCATGCCAGACTCATTCAATAAGCACGAGGGTGCTTCGAGCCCATGCACGGTCGTGCTTATCTGTGGAAAGCCCAATTATGAAAAGGTTTTAGGGTTTTCAAATCTTATAAAAGTGAAGATCTCAAGCATCGTAAGGGAACCGTTTTTACATCTTGACTTTAGCTTGCACGGGTCCTTGGCACATGCTTGGCGACACTTGGAGCTTCAAGCGATCGTACTTGAAGACCAGAAACACATCTCACACTCTAGTTTGCTATTTCTTTTGATTATGGCTTTGTTTATGATTGTTTTAGTTCTTTTCTTTAGCATGAGTAATTAAGTCCATAGCTAGGGCTATGAGAACTGTTGTTCATGAATTTATGAAATTTTGATGTTTGAATCTAAATTTGATTTCCATTTTGTGGTTAGATTTTATCCTATCGCGCTTCTTTCTTAATCCTAATTAATTATATCGTTAGGCGACTATACCTCGGTTAATTAATAGATCTATAGGGTAAAACGAAACAAAGGATTAGGTGGACCAAATCAATCTTTCTCTTCTAATCGTTATTCAATTAACAAGTTCTTAGGCTCCTAAAGCTTTCTTAAATTAATGTCTTGCATGACCATTGGGGATGTTAATTTAGAGAAAAGAATATTAATATTCCATGACCATTGAGTATTAATAGTATTCGTATGAATTATTGGTAATCACAAGGAAATCGAATTTAGAGTTAAATAGAGAAATAACATAAAGGATTGAATGAGAAAAATCATATGCTCTAGGTTCCTCTCCGATAAGTTTAACCACGACGTGCATTGTATTCATTACTCTTAGTTTTATAATTGATTTTATAAATTCTTGTTTTTAATTAATTTCGTGTCTTTGAAGTTTAAACAATTGAATTAAGAAATTCTTAGTAATTAAAAAACAATTATTGTGAAAAAATATTTCAAAAACTTAATTTAAGCACTTTTTATTACTTCTCAATAGGTACACTTGCCCTCCGAACATTCAACATATTAGAAACATTTATTTTGTATTTGTAAATTAATGTGACAAAATGCAAATAAATCTTTAGATATTAGGATAAGAACCTCTTCATATGTTGAACACTTACACTTTATATCTCAAAAATTGTCATTAGTACTACATACAAGTTATATCCTATTAAAAAGATATCAACAAATACATTGTCTCAATTAAAGTTATAATTTCTTTTAATTAAAGTTTATTTCATTGTAATTATTTCTTAATATTTTTTATTTACTTTTTAATATTTCATTACAATTGTTCTTTTTCTTTTTTTCTACTTTTTAATATTTCACTGTATTTTTTTTTTTTGCTAAAAAAATTTCACAGTAAACACATTCTTAACTGTTTTACACGACAAAAACTAAATCAATGTCTCTTATTCTTAGCAATCAATGCTTAACTTCTACTCCAAGGCAATGAAGGAGCCCTTTTATGTTATTGACAATACAAGCATATAAACGTGCCGAGTGGACTCCGATTCTAAACCTACTTGATGGCGCAAGGCAAATAATCTCCCTAATTCCTCATTCCCATGCAAGCTTGAAAAAACCATTCAAGAGAGCCAGAAATTCAGCTTGAAGATTCGAGACAAATAAAAATAAAAAATAAAAAAACACCGACCAGCCATTTTCCCACGTCATTCCTTACAAAACCAACAATCCTGACCTCCGAAGATTACCCAGAGACCTTCAGTCAACATTGAACTTATAATAAACATTAAGAAGAGGGTGATCTGCTGCCAGGAATGAGACTTTTACTCCACAGACTCAAGTCAAATCTTCAACTAACAGTTTAACTTTCGAACTATCAAGTTAAATTCAAGCCAATTGGCTGCATAATGATGATGATGATGAAAGAATTATCTATTTTATGAAACTTTCTAATGTGTTCGAAGTATATAAAAAACTATCCGGCATTTGAAAATAATACTTTCTCTAAGAAGAGAAGATCAAATAACAAGTTTTGTGAACTTTGCCACGAAGAGTCCACTAGTTTGTGATGTTAAGGCGTCAAACCGGCATGTTTTTTGTATAAGACCACCTTTGCAAGGCCAATTTCTAGCAGCATCTATCTCCATCAACTCTGTAGATTGAAATAAAAGTTGTAAAATATAAGAGGAACAAACATCAGTAGGACATGTACGTCATGTTAACTCAATTGGCATGAAGCAAATACCATGTATATATGATCCAAGGAGTATCACTACTAAAAACTATGTTATACAAGTTAACAATGCATCTGGCTGGTGCTGGTGGATACGCTTTTGGCTTCCACTTCCAATTTTCACTAATAATTACAAAAATGCTACATAGTTTTCTTTTCTTTTTTTTTCCCTCATTTTTAAGATTTGTATAAGAAATAATAAAGACAATATTCCATTGTTTTCATCATTTCTTGTGCTGATTTTTTGAAACAAGTAATAAGTAGAAACAAGGTGACAATTTTGTAATAATTAATACAAAAAATTAAAAGAGAAAACATTTTCACAAACCAAACACATCTTAAGTTAAATAGTATTAGTCTGTTACCGGGCTACATCACAAACTTTCGCAAGTTAATGGCGTCCACCAAAATAAGAAAGAAAGTGCAAGATGTCATTGTAGGTCAACCAGACAAAGTTGAAAATTTAGTAATATGTGACAATTTCCCATTCAGCTTGAGCTTTTTCGTCTCCAAAAAGAACAAGGTTAAAAGGTTTGAGGATAGAGGTAATAAGCATCTAAGAATGGGGAATTTCTACAAGAGAAGCACAAAACATTTGATAGGAAACAAGCACTGTAAAACGGCTAATCATATTCCTGAATGGATAATCAATTATAAACATGGTCAAAAAGACATAGTCGACAATTCAGACATAATTTTTGCACTGGAAATAAATTGAATCAGGAAGATCCTACCAGCAGTTCCATTTTCCTTCAAGAACTGTTCCACTACATCTTCATTCTGAGCAACAGTTAAGCTAATAACAAGGTGTTTGTTAGAAAAAATGACATGACAAAAATGATAGGGTGTCTTTGTTTTGACTGCAATAAAAAGAACCAAATAAAGTAAATAGTACCTGCAAGTGCTGTAGATGAGTGATCCTCCAACTTTTAGTAGTCTGAAACCATTGTTGAGAAGATTCAACTGTAGCCAGAAGCAGACACAAAAGGTATATGCGTTAAAGTGATATTGCAGACTACTAGCAAGCATGCACAAATTATGCTGAAAATGGCAATAGGAGAACAATCTCCAGTATCTTGTTAAGAAATCTCATGTTTCATTTCTCTTTTGCGTATAAATAAGGCAAAACATTTAACTAGGTAAACATGAAACTGAAATCCCCGTTGCATAAAATGAGATTTGTCATATTTGCAAGTACAGGTTTAAAATCCAAAAACTCTTATCATGATGCTTTTATTAATGACTGAAGATCATTTAGTCCAGGCCATACAATGCTTCCTGCATAACATACTAAAATCTAACAAGTAGCTTTGAAATGAAGTCTTCCGTCATACTCAATTAGTGACCCATGAGTAAATATTCCTTATCATCTCCAATTCCCTATTTTTTTGAGGAGGTCTAAAGGTAATGCACAGGGAGTTGTCTTGTTTCATCATCTTAACCACCCAAAGGTATCTTCAAGATGTCAACCTATTAGTTATACATGTGCCTTCATGATTGCTCACTTAAGCACTTAAATTTTCAAACTTGTTTTAGGCAAAACACTCTGTGCAAAAGGAGGAAAAGCATACAAATTTCAGAATTTGGCACCACCAACACACTCAATAATCCTGCACTATCTCATCAATCACCAATTTGTGCTAATTCTTCTTGGATGGGGTTATGTGCCAGAATGTGTGTGAGAGAGGAAAGAACTGAAGATGATAATTCCCGTTAAATTTTCTACAATAATAGAGGATACATATTAATGAATCAAGGGTATAATGAGTCACTTACCTGAAGAACATGTAAGTTATCAGTCCTCTCAGCATCTAGTAGACGATGTTGAAGAGTTCCCCAGCCCCAATGTTCAAACTTTTGAATATGTTTAACTGAACCATCATGAGTGCACTCTGCATCCACAAGGACCTGCATCAAATCCCAATAGATAATCAAATTTTCAGGGTAGAAGAAAGCAAAGAACCGTGCAAGATAAGTTTAAAAGAATGTAGTAAGTTACTTTGTCATAGCCATGGTTTGCAATCTCATTGTCAGATAGAGTCCTGTACAATTCTCCTTTCGTAAGACCAACAACTCCAGAATGTTGTCCATAATATATGAGTTCAGGAGGCTGAGATCTAGACACAAACTGTGTAGTAACACTCTTTTTTGCCCTCTTCCTCTCTTTCCATGGTCTTCTAGATGTCCACTCCTTGAACACATCCCCTCTTTCTTCAAATCCAGACTCACCTGTTTGATACTTGATAGAATGAACACATTTCAAAAATAAGCAATAGCAATTTATAATGTAATATTAAATTTGCAGTATTGCATTCCAGAATTGACCATCTCTTTAACAAGTTAAACTTCAATTACATGATTTATGGTAAGAATGGAATCCGCAAGGAATAACTGAAAATGTTGTTCCATCGGCAACAAAAAGCCGGCACCGATCACCAAGTGTATATTTCTGCAGCATTGTTCTACATGCTGCCAAACGATGCCTTGCAACATCTACTCCAGTTACAGAGCCTGAATCGCCAAGAAGGTCTAGTATCATACAAAGCTTAGCACCTGAAAAAAAAACTGAACAATTACCATTACAGTTGACAAATTGTTACTTCAGCAAATAGAAAATTATATAAAAAATTGCTCTTTCAACTAAAAACAACATCCTGGACAAAAAATATTCGTAAAATCGTCATTAAAACTTAACAATTTTATAAATCTTCCCAAAACAAAGAAATATTAATCTCAAAAACGGTTATTCTTTTAACAATAGTTATAAACAATAAAAGGACAGAGCATATAAGCCTAATTTGGCAAGCAAAGAAATATCTACCAGGAGCCGCACAAAGGTCCAGGACATGATCTCCTGGTGATATGTTCAAAGCAATAACAGCAGCTCCAGAAGATGCATCAATTCCATATATCTGATACAACCCAACCAAACATAAAAAGAAGAAAGCTAAGTTTTAAATAAGCTGCACTGCAAAACACAAATAAAATGGCATTCACCTTCGGAAAGGTTAAAATACAAATCTTGCTCCTTTATTTGACACTCATTTACGAATTAATATCAATACCTAAATAACGTAGGTGTTGGTTCCTATGCAAGTGTTTCGTTATGTTTTGGTTACAAGGACAAAAACTTAAAGTTTTTAACGTCCAGGGACTAAGTCGGAATTCCACGAGTAGCCCCAACGTGTATTTTACCCGAAAGATTATTACACCAATTTGGTTCTCAAATCATACATTTTGACATCAAAATAACCCAAATTTATCGAAACTGAACCGAACTACTTCGCTAAGAGTCCTTTCTCACTCACCTTTCCTTCTCGGTATGCCCTGGAGCCAGCAATTTGAACATGAGCAGGAAGAGAGTAAAACCCCGGTAACCATTCCAATTTTTGAAGCTTGCATTTAACCTCTGCTTCAACCTCTTCAATACAAGTTTCGCAACCGGGTTTCAACCTTTCCACATCGAAAAAAATGTACCAAATTCAGAAGCGAGAAGCAAAGGAGGCGAAGGGTAGAGAAAGAGTGAAAATAGGGATTACCGAATGTATCGTGGGGTAGAATCAATTGAAGTATAAATGGATGGATCGAGCCCGTTGGCCTCTAAGAAGTGAAGGAAAGCTTCTGGAAGTGGCACCTTTGCAGCGTATTCCATTAATTCCTCAATCAGCTTCGGCCGTGGGAAGAGAGTAAATGCTTATTCGTCTTGCTCTTTGGGTCGTCGTCAACAATCAATTACTTGGGTGAGTTTCATGTTAGTCCTTAAAAATTCCATGGCTCGTGCATTTTAGTTTTAGGTTTTAAAGATTTGATAAATTCTAAGGTGCCTGTACTTCCTCTGATAATTTTATATTTTAAGATTTATTAAATATTTATTTGTTCATTAATCTTTTTAGATTTTACCTAATTATTATAGTTAACTGATATTTTAATTTGAAATTTGAAACCTTTCTATCACTATGTTGGAGGTTATCTAAATAAGCATCGCAAGCTCTTTAAGCTTTATATTTACAAGTAAATGTACACGTTTCTCCCTTCAATTTGTGTGCTAAATAATTAATTCTTAATATTTTTAAAATATTATATTAGTCCTTAATGCTAATTATCATCAATAATATTAGTATGCCCTTATCAATATAAATTTTAAAATTTTTAAAAATTGTATTAATATTTAACAATAATTATTATGAATCATATTAATCTTTGTTGTTGAGTAATATTAAAAAGTAGAGTGATGAGTTAGACATATTAAATAGTCTATACCTAAAAGAATAAAATGACGTTAAATCTTTTATCGTCTCTTTCACAAGATGTTATAGTGTCTAACTCACTATAAACATTATTCATTCTCTTTTTCACATCAATGGCTCCACCTTCAACCTCAACAAAAATTGTTAGTTCTAGTAATTGGTTGTCTACACCATAAACTCCTTCCTATGCTCCCACAATTCCTCAATTTTTTCAAATAAATGTTCTCTCCTTCACCAAATCTTCAATTTTCTTTCTCTCTCATCGAAGTCCTATTATCTCTCACCAATGGCCTTCATTCTACGCCCTCATCCATCGACTAGTTTGGATGTCTAAATTCTGCCTCCACCTCTCTTCCTATTCGAAATACCACAACGTTCTATACTAATACACTCTCAATAGCTACATGAATTTCATTCACAAAAAGCAATTGGAGGCAAAGGAGGTAGAGAAAGAGAAGATTTGCAAAGAGTGTGAAGAGTTGAAGAAGAGGATGGAGCTTTAAATGTTCAATGCAAGGAAAGTGGAGGGGATAATGGGTCAGAATAGTTCCACAATACAATTGTGTATTGTAGATCAACATTGTTAAGTGTTTAAAGATGAAAAATGGTGTTTTGCAGTAAAAAATCCCAATTGAAAAGGATAAACAGTATGACATTGTTTTGACCTCTTAGATATAGACATATGTGTTATTTAATGTATTAACTCGTCCCTTCATTACCTATTTTTAAAGTTAATAATAAAGATTAATATGATTGATAATAGTTAATATTAAGGATTAATATGATATTTTAAAAATCGTATGAACTAAATTGATGGGTGCATGCAAATTGAAGGATAAAAGTTGATATTTTTTTTCCTATATTTATAGGAATGACAAATGAAATTATGTCTATCACTTTCTAAACTAAACTACAATACTCATGTTTTGAAAGTATAATTTCCTTTTGATTGCACTTCAACTTGCTTAATTATTTGACAAAGGAAATGACATTCCTTGGGTAATAGCAATATATTTCAATTTTGAAATTATCTCAAGTATCAAATAACAAGCATTAATATCATTTGATAATTGTAGTAAATCTAAGCCATTAATTATTTTATACTTCTGTCCAATGATAAAATATTGCTAACTCATAATGTATCATCTAATCCATAACTCATTGTAGACATAACTTATTGGTCCACATAAGAGCCTATCAAAATCATCAACACGAATGCACTTAAAATTTTTTTTGTTAGTTTTCAATTTTATAAAAATTTATTTACTTTATTTTTTTCATTATTTTAGGTTTAAAAAAATGTAAAATGAATTTCATTTTAGAAAATTAAAAGTTAATAAAAAATTTAAAATCTCAAAGACTATAAAATGTAAGATAAATGTAATGACAAAGACCAGAATATATTTAGCCAAGTTAAATTATGATCACTCAAAAATTCATTAATTTATTATTTAATTAGTAACTTTTTGTGTACTACATGAATATTATTAAATTAAAATAATATTTTAATAAATAATTTAAATATATTGTATGATTATTTTTATATTAAATAAATTTATATATTTTTAAATTATAATTATTGATAATAAATATGTTATTATATTTTAAAAATTAAAAATAAACTATGCATATTCTAAAATTTAAATTAAAAATAGTGTATAATATAAAAAAATCACTTGACGTGATAAAAAAAAAAAACTATTCTTTAAGAATGTCTCCATTTCATAACACTTTTAAAAGCATTTTAATTTAAAATACTCTTAAAATTATTTTAATTTAAAAACTAGTATTCGTAAATTATATATATGATTAATAATTTTAAATGAGTCTTTCAAAATATATATTCTTATTGAATAATTCTTTTACAAAATTTATTTTCACTTTAATCTCTTTAAATATTTTAAAATGTGATTTAATCATCCCAAATATTGCAAGTTTTCCATTTAATCTTCATAGTAGCATGAATTTTTCATTTTATCCCTTTGAAATTAAAGGTTAAATAAAAAATCATAATATTTAAAAGGATCAAATAGAAAAAATTATTCAAAATAAAAAACAGAAAATTTATTTGAAAAAAATAAATTAAAAAATTAAATAAAAATATGAATATTAAAAGGAGCAAAAACTTAATTAAATTAGTATTTTTTTGACATTGCATAGGCTAAACTTCATATGACATGTTAGGTCTATTTGTCTTTTTATTCTATTGAATACAAGATATGAAAGATCTTTATAAACAAATATATCATATTTATTTTAAGTATGATGATGCGTTTCATAGTTTAACTCTATCAAGATGTCTATTCCTATTCATATTTCTTCACATGATTTATTCTATATCATTTATCCAATTTTAATTAGTCACATTGTTACAAGGGATGTTTGATGACATGAAAACATAAAGCTTTTCATGTAGGAATTATAATGACTTTAAGTTAAATGAACATATATATCACTTTCAGTTTTTGAGTGATGCAACTTTTTTGTTTTCAATTACTAGTAGCATTCTTCTTTCATTTAATTTTATTTTATATCACTAACATCAAACTTAAGTACTGGTATGTTAGAATAGGTAAATCAAAACAACCAATGACTTATGCAAAAACGTATAAATTTATTGGACCAAATAAAAAAGAAGCGAACAAAATAAAAGTAAAAGTCAACAAGTGAAAGTTTAATCAATCAATCTCTTTCTCAAGTTTCATATAATAAGATTTTCACTCACAAATCAAAACTACAAAGTGACATTCAAGCAAGGAATGAAGGACTTTAAACCTACATGTTAATGGACAAGTAGAATGGAAGCAATAAAAAAAATACAAAATAAAATTATATAAAAATATAAATTTTTCTTCAAATGTTATCTTTTGAAAAGAGACTAAAATGAAAACATAAAAGATAATTTAATAATAAATTTAAATATTAAAATTATTTTAAATAAATTTTAAATTCTTAAAAATATTAAATATAAATTTTTAAAATTGATCTAAATTACTTATTTCATAGATAATGGATAATCAATTTTGATTGTCCATTCATTTAAAATTATATCAATAATTATTAAGACAAATAGCATGATATTTTCCTATATTACTAAAAACATTCTAATTTTATTGATGAATTCACATTTTGTTAATATTTTATTTTTCTTTTTTATAGATTTTTAATGGAAAAATGAAGTTAGAAAATATAAATACCATAAAAATTTCAATTATGCCATTTATTCCAACTTTCTTGTTTTTGGTTCAATTTACTTTAATTTTGTAATTATCTTTTGCAATTTTACAATTTTACTCACTAAAATAATTGTACAGAAATTTTTGGACAAAATTCAGGGGACTTAAGCTCTTGAGAGAAAATTGAGTGAAAGTAATTATTTTTAGCACCCAAAGTAATCACTACAGCAAGCTGCCCCCAAGAGTCAAGTGAAAGTAATTACCTCCAACAGTGATACTAAACACTACAAAGAGTATTTCAAGAAGAGAAGTTGTGCATAATCACTTTCACTAAAAATAGTGATTACGCGTAGCTTGTTTATCCAACAAAGCTGCACGTATTTACTTTCGCTAATCATAGTAGTTACACGCACTGCGCGTAATCACTTTTGTGAAAGTGAACACTATGAAGAAGAAAAAGTGTATAGAGTTGCGCGTAAACACTATTAATAGTCAAAGTAATCACTCTAGGAAATGTTATCTTTACTGTAAATAAATTTTTCACTTTTAGGATAGGAAGCTTTTTGCCATTTTATTGTACTTTCATTTCACACACTTTGCAAAGGCTTAGGTCAGGATCTTGGGTAACTGCCAAGGGTTCAAATTAGGGTTTCTTTCTTACTTCATCTTTCTTTTCTTCCATTTATCTTGAATTTCTCTGGTTTTGTTGAACATCATCTCTTGTAATGTTGAACCTCATTCCTATGGAAGGCTAATTTTTGTTTATTAATCCCTAGTAAGTTCATAATGGTTCTTGAAATCTTGATTTGATTGCTAATACAAATTTTTTTTCCATTGAATTTCACTTTTCCTAATTTCGTGAGAATCGAGTTAGGAATTAAATAGTGGTTGTTGCTTAATCAATCTAAATTTCTTTCTTAATAAGGGAAACTCAGTTTGCTTAATTCTGGGTTGGGTCCTAAGTTTACTTAATTCTAAGGACCAAGGATTAGAACACATGTGACTTGCTTAATCTTGCATGAGAATTTAAAATTAATTGACGCTTGTTCTAATTAACGTACTTCGAGAAAAGAATGAGTTATTAATTCTTTGAGGATTTATGATTGAACCAATATGGATGCACTAGAGGTTAACATATTTTGTTAATTGATTACCTCAACTTAATTCTCTTGCTTGAATGCTTTTGAACTTATAAACAACAAAACCCCCATTTTTATTTCCTAAACTAAATGCTCATGTCATGTTTGATGTATAATCTCGTACCCAACGTTCGCAAGAGGATGACCTAGGTCAATTCAACCTAGCACTACATAATTCAATTTATATTTTGATAGAGGTAGTGATAAGTCTGTATTTAGGCCCTCTTTTATAGCCCATATATTCATATTTGATC